GAACTAAAATAGATCTGGCTTTTGGAAACGCTGCTTGACAAACAGTAGATTGAAAGACTTTGATATTTTTTTCAAATTCTCTTCTGTTTTGAGAAATGAAATCTTGTAATTTTTTAATGCACACAACAATGTACAACAATATAATTTGTTAGCATGTTTGCAAGTTGTACACATTTCAGATGCTGGCAACATCTCAAGGTCAATATGTCAACAAAATGTCTGCCTAAAAGAAAAGGTCTATTGATACTTTGCACTGACATCATGCTGGGGTGTATTTCTATGTATGGCATGGCGACACAATGCACACATGGGCAATAACAACCAAAAAAGTTTTTAGATTGTCTGAAAACTCAATAAAAGAATACAAAATGGATTTAAACAGCACATTTTCAGAAGCCGGTGATCAATACGAGCGTTCATGGTCCTGTTCAGGAGTTTGAGTTTCAACAAAAAGATGAGCGTGAATAACTGAAAAACTATTGGCTGTCAGCTTTCTTGTGACAATAATCGTGTGTGTGAGAGACTAACAGCACAAATCATCTCACCTGTTTTAAGTCAGTTCTTTCTGGTAAGACTGTGTTAAAATAAAGCTCAGGTTGAAGTCTAACTTGAGTAACAGAGCTTTAGACAGAGCAGTGCTTACAGTTACACACCCAGGGAATGTTGCTGACATCAGCTGCAAAGTATCCACCGTAACTGTGTCAACGTAACCAAAACACTCATTTGAGCCTCATCACATTCTGGGCCCTAATGTGATCTATTAAAGGGGCACTATGTAACTTCTGGAGTGGGCCAGTGATCTGTTTGTCTCCATGGAGATTGTAACAGAAGAGGTCCGTCCCTGAGAACGTTGTCCTTGGGGAGATCATGTGAAGATGCACTTGTGCCCGTTTCCTTATCTGCTGCACTCCACGTGCCAAACATTACCAAACGTACATTAAACTTCATTTTCCATTACCTCTCCAGAGTCTTCTGCCATGACTAAAGGTGCACACTTAGAAGAAGCGCCAGTCTTGCCCATCCAAATCACTCTAAAACCGACTTACTTCGTGATAGTTTACTTTAACTCTCACGAAGCTGCCTTTCCCTCCTGTCGTGGTGCATTTTGGCAAACCTGGACACATCTGTGCCGGTAGTTTAAATCCTCCAGCTGCGCAGGTTCTGGTAGTCATGTGAGCCACAGATAATTTGCATGGGCAATTATTCGTATTCTCTGTGTAAGTGTTGTATGCAACTTATTGATTTTGTATTCCTGTCCGTGCATAACTTTTGGCACCTGAAATATTAGTTATTTAATAGTGGAAATGGTGTAAATAATTTTCCAATGAATGTTATGTAATGTGGGAAGGGCAAATGAGGGTATATAGGTGCACTCCGCAGTTCTGCAGTCAATATTGTCCTGGTTACTTGGTTACTGGTTACTGGTTACTGGTAACTTCCGCTGAGACAGAGAGAGAGAGAACAACTGCCTGAAAGATTTAAGGGGGAAGTCTACTAAAAAGCAGTTTTTTTGTTTGCCTCTAAACTGAACTTCAAGAACTACCACTGTACCACTGTAAATAATTTTCACGCATGTGTTTGCAACTTTTTAGCACTGTGGGAGCGCACAAAACCGCATAGCCCAACTGAACTTTGAAGAATCCCGCCACAGAGATTTTGCTTTGGTTTAAATTGTCCACAGGCTGTGGCTCCGGCTTGCATTATTCAACTACAGGTGTCATTTATTGCTCAAAAATATCTTTAAAAACATCTATTCTCACTGTGAGTGGGTTCGCCGCTCCACAAATCTAACCTGTAATCTGGCTTGGAAGTCTCTGGAGATTCATAAATTTATGGCCATACTGTGGAACATTCTAGGCACATCTCCATGGAGACAAGCAAGTGGCAGACCCTCCAGCAGTTACAAGTTACACCTTTAACTAACCAATTAATCAAATAAAAATAATAATAATAATGACCAATAGATAAACTGATTTGCGAAATGATCTGAGCCAGACACAAACGTGGTAGAAATGACAGTAAATGACGTAGAGAGCCTCACTTTTCTCCTCTGAAATAATGGAAGTCATTATGTTGTCAAAGACTATTGTAGAACTGTGTGTCCTTTATATGAGAACAATGAAGTGTAAAGGGACATATAGGCTGCTGTGTGATTGTAGAGTATGTGGGTACATGAAGTACAACACAAACGTTTTTCTTTTTTAGCACAAACTACACTACAAAAAGTTAACTCTTTCTAGGTTTAAACATAGACTGTATATATAAATGGACATAGAGTTCCAAATAGGAAGTTGTTGGACTTTTGTGGATTTTTGTAGACTCTTCCGGCTCCTACTGACCTGGCTCCTGTTGGAATATTATGGCCACTCTCTCTGTGACTGCTGCTCTGAGCCTCGTCATTTTGGTCTTAAAATGTTCGTAATTAAATATTAGTCTTTTGTACTTATTCGTTTATTTTTTTGCTATTTTGTTCGTCAAAGAAGTCCTATTCATAATATACAGCCTGGCTCCAATTTCGCCCCTGTAACTGCCGCTGAACGCTATGGGTGAGTAAATTTCACATGAAAAGTAAACGAGCATTTTTGCTACATTAAAGATAAGAAAAACAACTCTTTGCACTTAAAATAAGAAACTACATCTTACCTTGTTTGAATCAAGAAAAACATACTTATTCCATTGGTAAATAATGTTACTTATCAAGTCAAATCTACTCAAATCTAGTTACCTTCGGTCCGTCACCTTCTTCTTTCTATGCGTATGCCATTGGTCTGCTTCAAATGTTCCACAGTATGACATTAAACAGCTCTACCTTACGTTCACAAGTACAATTACATGTGGTTTTATAGCTCAAAAATATCTAGAAAAACAGACATTCTAACTGTGAGCCTTGCTGAGGGTTGCCTCTCCAAAGATCTGACCTGTAACTTGGCCTGGTTTACTCCCCATGAAGATCGAAAGGTGTAAAGCCAAACTTTGAAACATTCCAGACAAAGCAATAACATATCCATGGAGGAAAACATTTGACAGACCCTCCATCAGAAAAGTTACCCATTGCACCTTTAAGTCATATACTGTTCTGAATTTGAGTCATTTAAACTCACCTAGATATTATGTTTTGCAGTGTAGTTACATTTATAGCTTTGTGATAAAAAAATGTATATGTACGTATGTGTCCTGGCTCCATTTTAAGTACTTGGTGACATCACAAAAGACTTCTTGGATTACAGATAGGTGTTTCTCATTACAAACGCCTGTCTGGAGGGGTGGAGTTTGAAATGTTAGATCTATCACTCAGTTTTTCACATGTTCTAACCTCCCTCCCCTCTCCTCTCCCCTCATTCTCTTCTTTAGCCCTCCAGGTACTGCCCAGATTAGCAGCTCTCTTTGAAGCCCCCTATCATGTCACCGGGGGGGGGGGGGGTGACATGATAGGGGCTTGTTATTAAATGTCTCAACAAAATTTTACAGACCAATATTGGTTAATGATAGAATGATGAATGATGATGGAAATAAAAGGCTCATCTTGAAAATCTCTCCTTGATTTATTAAAGGTCCAGTATGTAATTTTAAAGTTAAGGGTTCGACACATGCTTGTTTCTATGGATATGTCATTGCTTTAAATGTTCCATAGTGTGACATTAAACAACTCTGACTTAGATGTATTCAATTACAAGTGAGTTTATAGCTCAAAGATACCTAAAAAAACAGACATTCTAACTGTGAGCAGGGTCGCCTCGCCACAGATCAGTAACTTGTTCTGTTTTGGTCTCCATAAAGATAGAAAGATTTAATGCCATACTGTGAAATATTTCAAACAAAACGAAAACATCTCCATGAAGAAAGGCCGGTGATGAACCCTCTCTTTAAAGACACACGACTGAACTTTCTGGAGGTGCATCAGCTGTAGGAATCCATAAAAACAGAGAGAAAAATCTTACTTTGAAACAATCTCCATGGCGATAGTTAAGTTTTATGGCATACTGTGGAATATTATAGCCAAAGGAAAAACATTTCCATGGAAACAGCAGGTGAAAGAACTCCTCCAGGCCAAATAATAGAGTCATGTTTATGACACGGGTCCACTCACAGCAAGGAAGGATATTTTGCACATGTTTTTCAGTGCAATAAAAACAACCAAATGACAAAAACATGCTTGTACTGGGGCTTTAAAGGTGCATTGTGTAACGTTTCTGGTGGAGGGCCTGTCAAACACTTCTCTCCACGCAGATGTTACTGCTTCATCTGGAAGTTCACAGTATGGTATTAATACATTTTTCTATCTTCATGGAGCCCAAACCAGAGCAAGTCACAGGTCAGATCCTTAGAGAGGCGACCCGCTCACAGTCAGAATGTCTGTTTTTCTAGGTATTTTTGAGCTATAAAACCACCCGTAATTAAATAAACATAATATAGAGCTGTTAAATGTCACACTCTGGAGCACTGACATATCCACAGAAACAAGCAGGTGACAGACGCTGAACCTAAAAGTTACATAGTGTACTTTTAACTTTCATGCGGCTGTCTAGTAACAGCTAAAAGGCAGTACTGTAAACTGTTCCTGAATAAACCAGTTGCCACATATTAATAGTGTAACAGTGTAATAATAATAGTAATAATCTAATAATGTAATAGTGTAATACTGTTTTCCACCGCAGACTTGGTGGTATAGATCTAGGGATGTAACAATAACTGAAATATCGTGATGTTGTGTCTTCAAAAGTCTCTCAGTAATATTTTGGGCCATCACAATATATCGAATCTCAAATCTTTTTGCTTAAATTTATTGTTATGGTGCAGTAACAGCTAAAACAAACAGAGGGAACTACATAGACCATGATCCTTTGCTCTGTTTCAAGTCCAACTTCCACAATGAAATAACAAATTAAGCACTTTTAAATCTTAATTCTTTGGTTTATAACAGACTCCACAAAATACTGCAGTAAATATGGTACTGTGAGATGCATATCGTGAAAATATCGTACAGAGAAATTTACACAGACCTGGTGACGAGTGTGGAGATGATGTCTGTGATGGTGCTGTTGAGTTCACTGAGCATGTCTTCTATGGGGCCTGGGATGGGCAGCTGCTGACGGAGATGCTCGGCTCTCCGGATCTGCTGCCTGTTCTGCCAAATGGTCTCCGCCAACTTCTCACACCTGGAAATACAGTTAAAGTCAAATCAGGGCCAAAATCAGTGGATGAAACTTTAAGAATTCAAGTTATCCAGGTGTTTTATGAAGTGCTTGTATCACAGCAACCAAAAAGCCAATCAGACGCAAGTATATTGAAAGTAAGGCCGTATAGCAATGCTGTCAATCAAACCTTTTGTTAGTGGGAGCAACCTTAGAGAAAGAAGGCACCCAGCTGGTCTCTTATTAATATTTATATCTTGATTTAGGGACAAATTAGCAAAATAAAAACTTAATTATTTTATCACAAATACACTTGAACATAAGAGCAGACTTCAAGTAGCCAAAAAAGTCTCTCGAAAAAAAAAAAAAAATCAACTAAAATATTAAACGTACAACAAATATGATGTATTGTGCAGTTTCCCCCGAAAATGGGATAAGCCACCATAGTTTAAAGATCTGATATTACACAAAATTGACTTGACTCTTGTGAGCTTTAAGTCATGTTATAATGCTGTTATCTCATCAAAACGTAATCTTTTGTTATTAGTCTATCTGCATCTCCAAAGCTCAAAATATTCTGTTTAGGGATGGGCACTCGATTAAATTTTCTTAACTGATCGTCGGGAGAATTAACGATTAATTATCAATTAATCATTAACGTTTTTTATATTAAAATTTATCATCATTATTATTACTATCTGCACTACTAATCTGCATAAACAAATTCAACTTTACGACATATAAACTGTAACCACTCTAGAGCCACATCAGCCCGTTTGTTGAAACGAAACTTAAAACCTCATGGCTAATTTGCATAAATTAAGCGAAAAAAAAAAAAAAAATGCTCTTGTGCGCTGATGTGACATGACTCAGTGGAATACAGGTTAGTGTGACCATATTTGCATTTGTCAAAACCAGGACACTGTACAGGGGGTGGGAGGCGGGGCCTCGTCATCGACATTGTGCTACTCTCACCTGGCAAAACTTCTTCATGTTTTCGATGTCCTGGTGAGTTTTTTCCCACTGGACACTGAAACATATGTGCTGCTTTGTACACTGTGCACATGGCCTCCCGCTTGTCCCGACCGGAATGGAAATCATGGAATTTCTTGTACAAGTCATCGTTAAATACGCATTTGTGCTTTGGCTCGTTGCAGACTGACTGACTGTTTGTGTCTCGCTCCTTCTGAGTGCAGAGAGACACATGTACAGACCCCTGTTTGGTCAGGCTACGCACAACAACCTACATTCGGTTTCTCGATTAAAATAAACGTAATCGATGAAATTCTTAATGATCAATTATCGATTAATCGACTAATCACGCCCATCCCTAGTTCTGTTCCACCTTGTGATGTCAAAAAGTGGCCATTTTCAAGTTAACATCTACCTTTCACCTCATGTTCAGTACAGATTGGTAATTGTAGGTCTGAAATCATCCAAATGATTCTAGTGGAGGTGTATGAAGTTAAAAAATGCATTGAAGCACATGACATCACAAGGTGGAACAGTTTTTCCTGTTTAAGAGAAGGACTTAGCCTAAATATAATTTCCTCAACATTTTCTTTCATGCCTTAATCAAAGCAAATTTTCAAGAATCCAGAGCAGCCGAGGGCCAAGGAGCTGTGCAATGAAATTACACTTCACTACTCCACTAGAAAAACCTAATTAGAACTACTACTTCATTCAGTAGTATTTCTTTGTAATCTCAGTTTGTTTTGGTGGACTATGATGGCCATTCTGCTAAAAAATAAAGCTTTACATCGACTTGTCTTCTACCTTGTCAAGAGGTTGGCCTTACTGAATAGATGCACTGCTGGAGGACTGACTTAGCAGGAACCAGGTGAGCACTTTTGTTCTGTTAAACAATTCTCACAGCACAGGCTCCTGAGTGGTTCCAATCCATTTTTATATTTTTATCTTAAGTTTTCAGATCATCTAAAAAAGTACGTGGCTGTGGTTTCATTCAGTCACCATGGCAACCGCAGAAGTATGAAGAAGAGACTGTATGAAGAAATGGATCGACGGAGTGTGAAGTCATCCATAGCTTTCAGCTCCAAAACAAACCAAAAAAACAATCGAGGTTAGCAGTTATAGCGGCTGATCTGCAACCATTGACCATATTTGGAATTCTGAGAGTGGATGACAACAACCAAAGAACAAAGAGCCGATCAGAAGCAAGTGGATTGAAGGTAAGGCCAATTAGCAACGCCGTCTATCAAGAATGTTGAACAAGGCACCATTTGGTCTGTTGTTAATTTTCGTGTATTGATTTAGGGACAAAGTAGGTAAAAAAAAAAAAAAAAAAGTCAAATGTATGACTAGTGTGATAGACAAACTTCTTAGTTGCCTCCCAAAAAGGATAACCCGTGATAGTTTAAAGGTCCTATATTATGCAAATTGACTCTTGTGAGCTATAAAAACTAAATAAAAAAACAGCAGGATTATGTAGAGCGAGTTAAAATGGACATTTAAGTTCAGAATCATGAGTCTGACAGCAGCAATTACAGAGAGATTGAATAGAAGACAAATGGAATCAGAGCTCGAAGGAACTATTTCGCGCCCACTTCTTATTTAGAACGAAGAAAAGATGTGCCAGGACTAAAGACCATTGGCACGGGAGGGGTGTGATTCTGGGAGGATATATCAGTACAGCGGGCACAGGAGGGGGGAGAGGCAGAGGGTGTGAGAGTGAAGCGACGTACCAGGACTGCAGGATGTCCAGACCCCCCTCTGGAGGACCCCCGTTGCCGGCTAGCTGCTGCCGTCTCTTCCACTGGATCAGCTCATCGTCCAGGATCACGGTCTGCTGCTTCCTCAACAGCTGCAGGGTCTTCTGGTGCTTCTCTGCCAGGTCCTACACAACAACAGCCAACGGTCAAACATAATCGATGAAACATACTCAATGCCTTATGAAATATATAAAGATTTGTTTTTTACTTTTATTTTTGAAGCATTACACATAATCTGCTTTCTTTAACACTGCCTGGGTTGTTCCACAGTAAGACATAACACTTGTTTATCGCTATGGAGACCACAGGGCCATGTCAGATCTGTGGAGAGTCGAGCCCACGCACAGTCAGAATGCAAGTTTTTTTGTCAATACAAGCCCATCTTATTGATTAGATGTAAGATGGATGTGTTTACACTGAAACAAATCACTGTATCACCATATCACAGTATCGGGAATGATTTGCGTCCAAACATGTCGTTTCTGTGTCCGCAAGCTTTCCCTATCCACACAGCTTTGAGCATATGTGTTTACGTTTTACAGAAACTAAACTAAAAACCACACTAATTTGCATAAACTAAGTGTTCAAAAAACAGCTTGCTATTGTGCGCTGATGCGGTTCAGGTTCTCTCAGACAAAAGGACATGATTCAGTGCATAATATGTGTTCTTTCTGTGACAGAGGGGTGTTCTGCTGATGGTGAGTTTGTTCTGTGTTTCTATCGTGTTGGAGATGGTTCATGTTTAAACTTTTCAGAGATTATACATCTACATACACATAGATCGTATATATGAATGGACATATATTCTAGCCTCTTAGTGTTTTGGGGGTGAATTACTTTGTGGCGCATAGACCTACATCAGAGTATCAGCGTTTTCAGGCGTCCACACAGTACCAGATCAGATCTGTACTCAGATGAATTCGTGGGAGCTGGTGGCACCAGATCATTCCGTCTCTGGAGCCACTTTCCATCGGATTAGTGTGGACGAACACTGCATCCACAACGAAAACGACTCGAATACGTATTAGTGTGGACGGGGTCGTGGAATGACATCTCCAAGAGGACTCTCCACCAGAAAAGTTACACAGTGCACCTTTAATATGTAGGTTCAGTTTCATTCAGTCACAAGGATTGTAACTGCAAACACATATTCAATGCATCATGGAATATTTTTAGATGTGCAAATTTTTATACAACCCTTTTCCACTGTCAAGGCTCAAAGCACTTTACATCCAGGAACCCATTCACACACTCACTCATACACCAGTACACAGTAGAGATGCACGGATTGCGGTTACAACCGCGGTATCCGCGGTTAATCCGCGGGTCGGGCGGATGATGTGACGAAAAATTATATTTTTATTAAATTCAGGCGGGTGGCGGTTTAACTACTAAAAAAAAAAAAAAAAAAATTTGTTAGTGTTGTTACGTACATCTGAAAAGACGAGTGTCATTGTCTATGCTTGTATGAAGTGTACGTCATATCCTTAATTAGCCCATTTGACCTCGTTTTTATGTTCTGAAGGTTCAGGTTGTGTCGGGTTATTGATGCCTAAGGTTTACGAGGCACATATTATATGCAGTTTATTTTATTATTTCTAATTTATTTCAGCTGTTTGCCAACACATAAATGGCTATAGGGACATATTTATTTAGTTATGCATATTTTTTCTTGTCTATTTCAATTGGAATATAAAGAGGGCATTGCCTGATTTCAATAAAGGTTCATCTGGATGAGATGATCTGTCTATTTTGTTTCAATATCAGTTATATTTTAAAACACGCAGACATTATAGCGTAGACTGCCACTCGGGGTATTTAAAACTTAAAGAAAGACCGATGGAGTGAGGCTATGACTTTGAAATAACATTGGGCAATGGCAGAATGTTCAGAATGTAACAAAATCCAACACGAAGGCAAGAAGGTTCAAAAATAGCCTAGTCAGAAAACGTTGTCAATGAATTAGCTGCGCAAGAAAACCAGGTAAGTCCGGGGTTGTTACGGACAATTAAGAATGTGAACATACACGCTGAGCGAATTTTGGAATGAATGAGCTATAGAGTTTGCATTTTTATCGAGGCTCCTTAGTTTGTTTGCTGTATGATTGTTCTAAAATCTAAAATCAAGTCGGCGGATGGCGGGCGGGTGCGGTTTTGAAAACCTTCGGTGCAAAATGGACAGCGGGCGGATGATGAGTTTTGTGTCGCGGTTGCGGATGAAAAAATAGCCCATCCGCGCATCTCTAGTGCACAGACATGAGGGAAAATGTGGGTTAAGTGTCCAAATACACAACAACAGCGTTCATTAGCGTGACCTGGAATCACACTGCTATAAATATAATCTGGAATATAAAAGATTTCCCTGTTAAGTTCAAGTTAATAAGTGTTTCATTTTATTGTATTATTGTTTTAAAGGTGCATTATGTAACTTTTCTGGTAGAGTCTGTCAAATTTGAATTGAGTCCAAAACGGAAATTGTTGTTTTTAAACCAAGTTTGTCTTAATAATTTCTAGTTTAACATGGGTTCTTTTCAACAAAATACTAAACCTACAGCTATCCACCTTGGCGTTTAAGATTTTAAGTTAACAAGCAGATAAAGCAGCTTTTATCCAGACTCTAATCCGCTTAATTTTGTAGTGATTTGGAGCGGGTGGTCCCTAATTTGATCTCTACACGTCTTGACTACTGTAATGTCCTGTACACTGCGGATCAGCCAGGTGAACCTGTCACGCTTACATTTAGGCCAAAATTCTGCAGCACGTCTTTTAACTGGCGCACGTCATAGAGAACACATCACACCTATTTTATCCTCATTGCACTGGCTCAACCATTCATTTTAGAGTTGATTTTAAAACTGTATTGTTTGTTTTTAAAGCACTTCATGGACTTCAACTTGTCGTCCCAAAAACAAGACTCAAAAGCCGAGGTGATTCTGGGGTGACCGGGCCTTTTCTGTGGTTGGCCCCAAACTTTGGAACGCTCTCCCCCCTTCACAATAAGAGCGCCCCTTCAGTTGATTCTTTTAAGTCTTGTTTAAAAACACACTTTTACTCACTGGCCTTTAACACAGCATGAGAATTGTGTGATCCTCTGACTGTCTTTTATTGATTTTATTGGCTATTTTTATACTTGCTAATTTTAGTATGTTTTATGCTTTTTTATTGACTTGCTTATTTACTTATTTTATGTTTAATTTTATTTAATGTGTTAATTTATATTGTGCTACTCTTTGCAGCACTTTGGAAACTTTGTGTTGGCAAAATGTGCTATAAAAATAAAGTTGGATTGGATTAGATTGGAAATGCTTTTCTCCGTGGAGATGTTATTGCTTTGTCTGGAATGTTTCACAGTATGGCATTAAACCCTTCTATCATCATCGACACCAAACAAGCAAAAGTTACATGTCAGTTCTGTGGAGAGGCGACCCCGCTCACACTCAGAATGTATTTATTTATGTGAAGATATTTTTGAGCTGTAAAACCACCTGTAATTGAATACATGTAAGGAGAGGTGTTTAATGTCATATTATGGAACATTCCAGGCAGAACAATGGCATATGCATAAAAACAAGCAGGTGATGAACCCCCAACCAAAAAGTTGCACACTGCACTTTTAAGACTAATAAAACTAATCTGAGCTTTTTAACTCTCCATTTTGTCTTAGTATTATTTTTGTTACTGTGCCTCTGTTTATGAAATATGTGGTATAAATAAAGTAGATTGAATTGGCTGATTTATTTTACTTGATTTGAGAATATTTTGACCATCTTACACGCGATTTCTCATTGGAACAATCCTTTTCTTTCTTATTTCAAGTGCAGTTGCATTTATTTTTTTTCCAAATTATTGTCTCTTTGTTATTTTTAACAAATAAAATGGCTCTCCTCTCAAAACATTTTTTTTCAAGCAGCCTTATGCTCACAAAAAATAAATTTCAGATTTTCAGATTTTTTCACATTGCTTTTAAAGGCCTGTGACGGAGCGCCTGTGTTGCCCCGTCATCTTCCAACTGGCGCGTCTGCATCTGGCCAAAGAGCGCGCACAACGCTTCCTTCCCTCCCCGTTTTGCGGAGCCAAGCTCCGATAGACTGGTTTATGCAGGACCTGTTTTTTCCCCCCAATATCTGAACGGTTCGAGGGTGCACACTTGACGCTGACGCCGCTCTCTTATCTGCAGCAGCCTCCGTGCCGTTCTTGGGTTCGGGGCCAAACCGAGGAACTTCCTGGTTGTGCTTTAAATAGCGCATAGTGACGCGCTCAAGGGGGGACGTGATCGTGGACTCGACCATTGTGGTCTATTTGGGGTCGTTTGTGGTTTTTGAAGTTGTTTAATGGAACTTATGTTAACCTTATGAGGGGTTCTTTAAGTTATTTTTATTATGTTTATTTCCAAGTTGATTTGTGTTCTTCAATACAGTTTTGCTTATGTTAATTCCTTAAAACCCCATTTTCGTTAATTGGTTAGCCCGGGGGGAGGGGCTAAGGGGGTATAAAAGGAGGGAGCTCCAGTCATTTGGGAGTTGTATTTGGCCTGACTACGTGGGTGCTGACAACTGTAAGTGTGACTATTGTACATATTGTCTACCACCTCATTTTTTTTGGTCACTGTAAATATTCCACTCTGCACTTGGAGCTGTCGTGTGAATAAAAAAACTCACTTAAATGAAGTTTTTTTGACTGAGGCACCATTTTTTACATTTATTTCGGACGAACCCGTGACAAGGCCACATTACGCTATTTTCTGATCTGTTATAATGTTGCTTCCTTATCACAAACAGACTTGGAGTTGTGTTTTGTTTCATTCACACGTTTAACTCACAAATCCTGCATATTTAGGCTGAGTTCTTCTCTCAAACTAAAAATACTGTTCCACTTTGTGATGCCATGCAATAATACAGGAAGTGCTCCACTGTGTTTTTAAACCATACACCTTCACTGGAATCATTTGAATGATTTCAGCCTTGGAATTGTCCTTCTTTACTTGACAAACGGTAAAAGGTTACTTAACTTATAAAATAACACTGTATGATATCACAAGGTGGAACAGAGCATTCTGAGTTTTGTGGAAGGAGACACACTAATATTCCAGGAGGTAACAGCTTTATAACATGGTGAAAAGCTCACAGGAGTCAATTTTTCATAACATCGGACCTTTAAAAATAAATGCCAAATCCACAACACCTTTGATAGCTTCACATAGGTCACATAACAGCACAAGTCTGAGAAATCTGTGGAAGGGGCACAGATTCAAACGGCGCTGTGACAAATGTTGAGCAGTGTCTGATATCTTTGAGCTGCTGTCTCTACATCAGGTCTTTGTAAATAAGAATTTGTCCTCAATCGACCACCTGGAGAAATAATCTTCATAACATTCTATAGACCTATGATATTTAAAGGGCCCATATTGCACTGTTTTCTGATCTGTGTTATAATGTCGTTTCCTCATCGCAAACAGCCCTGGAGTTGTGTTTTGTTTTATTCACATGTTTAACACACAAACCCTGCATGTTTAGGCTGAGTTCTTTTGTCAATCTCTTCCTGTTCCACCTTGTGATGTTATGTAGTAATATAGGAAGTGCTCCATTGTGTGTGTTTTTAAACTGCATACACTTTCACTTCAATTATTTGGATCTTTTCAGCCCTAGATTTAGCTATTTCTATCAAACTAAAGGGAAAAGATAGCTGTTAACAAAAAAAAAAAAAACCCTACCACTTCATGACATCACAACGTGGAGCAAAACGTGGAGATGCAGACAGACTAATAATAAAGGATTACTCAAACACGTGTGAATGAATCAAAACAGAACTCCAGGTCTGGTTTCGACGAATTAACAAAATCCTAACATGGCCGAAAGCTCTCAAGATTTGATTTTGCCTTTAATATAGGTATATATTTTAATATTGTTAAAATGGAGAATTTTGTTGTAATATTTTAAGTTTTAGGGGAGTCTCTTATAGAAATGATCAGGTTCAACATTTGCCAATTTAGCTTTGAGATAATAATTGAAGTGAAGCAATGTAATCAATCGGGGAAACTGCCCTAGTCCCCCCATCTGGGAGAATGAAATCATGACATTTTAAAATCTGAAAATCACAAAAAAAAACAAAAAAACACACAAATAAAATAATTAAAAAATAACAAATAAATAAAAATAACAAATAAAGTACAAAATAAAATAAAGTGAATTCATCCTTGTTCTGTATATATGATTGTTGTCAACAGATATTCGGTGTTATTAGGTTCTTTTTTTCAGACCTAGAGTGTTATTTCATACCTGACAGTTTCGACTGCTCACTATCATCTTCCTCAGAGTCACGTGATGATAGTGAGCAGTCGAAACTGTCAGGTATGAAATAACACTCTAGGTCTGAAAAAAAGAACCTAATAACATAGAATATCGGAAGACCAAATGAATCTCATTGGACTAGTGGCAATAATTATATCTTCTACTATTACTAATACAAAAGTGCGTACCAGTCTGTATTTCTGTAGTGTGTTGGCCTCTCTGGTGAGCCACGCCTCCACAGTGGCTCTTTTGTTGAGCAGGCCGGGCTCTCGCAGCTGGCGGTCAGCAGGAGGCAGTGTGGCCAGACTGGACAGTTGGGCTGCAGAGACACAACATCAGAGGGAAGAAAGATGTGAGAGTGGTGAGTAACGTTTCATTACACACATCTCATAACACTCATTTTTATACCCAATATTAACCCTTGTTTACATCAGTATTGTCTTACCCGATTCCAGCAACATTAAAAGTCCTATATGACTCTTCTAAAGCCTAAAGACATAGTCTTACGTTATAATATTGTTGTGTCAGCAGTCACCTCCAGTCTCTCTCTCTCCAAAACCTTCAAATCAGGCAAATCAGGCAAGAAATCTCGGGGTAATAATGGACTCAGACTTGAACTTTAACAGCCACATCAAATCAATAACATCTGCAGCCTTTTACCATCTAAAAAACATAGCAAAAATCAAAGGTTTACTGTCTAAATCAGACTTGGAGAAACTTATCCATGCGTTTGTCTCCAGTAGGTTAGATACTGTAATGGTCTGCTCACTGGTCTCTCCAAACGAGCTGTGAGACGCTGCAGAACATCCAGAACGCTGCAGCTCGGGTCCTTACTTGAACTAGGAAGTATGAGCACATAAATCCTGTGCTCAGGTCTCTGCACTGGCTTCCTGTGGCTCAGAGAATAGACTTTAAAGCAGCTCTGCTTGTGTACAAGTCTCTCCATGGCCGAGCACCAAAGTACATCTGTGACATGTTAGTGTCATATGAACCATCTCACACTCTGAGGAGCTCAGGGACCGGCCTCCTGCTGGTGCCCAGAGTCACGACTAAACAAGGGGAGTCAGCGTTTCAGGTTCATGCAGCTAAAACCTGGAACAGTCTTCCTGAACATGTGAGACAGACTCTTCTGTGACGCTGTTTAAATCCAGACTCAAAACATTTCTGTTTAACTGTGCATATAACTGAAAGGTTTTCATTCCGCACTCTTCTCTCCAATTTATGTCTATCATTTATGTCATATATATAGTAGGGGGTCCCTGCTCCAGCTCTCCATCAGTTTGGGGGTCCCTGGCCTGAAAAACGTTGAAGACCCCTGCTTGAAGATATAACGTAAATTCACAAAGTAATTTCATCTACCCCCATCTCCATTACATGTGGTTAGTTGTAGATAGTAGGCTCGAGAGGGGCAGAAGTGATGAGGTAGTGCTGGTGGTGTAAACTTCTGTTGTAAACTTCTGATCTAAACAGTTTTTTGGACTGTTTTACATTTTTATTTTAAAGGATTCAATTAAGAGCATGTTCATGTTCATTTTGTCTTTATAGAAAATATGCGTCCTTACTGTGACAGACCTCCTCCCGCGTATCCCCATAGAAATGTTCCTTTGGCTATAATTCTGGGTTTTTATTCTCTGTTCCTATGAAATTATGCAGATGATGTGCCAAACATTTGTCTGACCTTAACCTAAAAAACCATTAAAATACCTTATTTATAAAGACCTGTCAGCAGACCGTCCCTCCGAAGCATACCATTTAACGCCAACCATCACATATTATATAGGCCTTTCACTGGTCTCTCCAAACGAGCTGTGAGACGCTGCAGAACATCTAGAACGCTGCAGCTCAGGTCCTTACTTGAACTAGGAAGTACGAGCACATAAGTCCTGTGCTCAGGTCTCTGCACTGGCTTCCTGTGCCTCAGAGAATAGACTTTAAAGCAGCTCTGCTTGTGTACAAGTCTCTCCATGGCCGAGCACCAAAGTACATCTGTGACATGTTAGTGTCATATGAACCATCTCACACTCTGAGGACCTCAGGGACCGGCCTCCTGCTGGTGCCCAGAGTCACGACTAAACAAGGGGAGTCAGCGTTTCAGGTTCATGCAGCTAAAACCTGGAACAGTCTTCCTGAACATGTGAGACAGACTCTTCTGTGACGCTGTTTAAATCCAGACTCAAAACATTTCTGTTTAACTGTGCATATAACTGAAAGGTTTTCATTCCGCACTCTTCTCTCCAATTTATGTCTCACTTTTTAAATTTTAATCTTCATGATTATTTATTCTGTTTTTCTTATTCTGTAAAGCACTTTTAATTACTTTGTGTACGAATTGTGCTATACAAATAAACTTGCCTTGCCTTGCCTTGTTGCCTCATAAAAAAGTTTGACGAGTAACCTTTTATTATTAGTCTGTCTACATCTCCAAAACTCAAAATGTTCTACTCCACCTTGTGATTTCATGAAGCGGTACTTTTCAAGTTAACAGTCACGTTTTACCTTTAGTTCAATAGAGATTGGCAATTCTAGTGAAGGTGTGTGGAGTTTTAAGGCACAGTGCAGCACTTCCTGTATCACAAGGTGGAAAGAGAGTGTTTCAGGGAAAATCTCAGCCTAAATTTGCAGGGTTTGTGTGTTAAACATGTGTGGCATGTGTGAAACAAAACACAACTCCGGGTATGTTTGTGATGAGGAAACAACATTATAACATAGATCAGAAAATAGAGAAAGTATGAGGTACTGCAGGGAGGTCGTGAAATCTTTGGTTGATTAGACTTTTTTTGTATTTCTTAATTTTTGATGGATGAGGATGAACAGGTTTTCGGTGGGTTCTGGCTGTGCTTCCTTCATCACGTCTATATCTCTTTCTTCATTCCCTCGTCTTTCGTTCCCTGCCAAACTGCAAACACATAGGCTCGAATTTGATTGTTTCTTCTAGGCTACATGTCAAGAAGTCTGTTACAGCTTCATTTTTACGTACAGTGGAACTTAAGCTTCGTACATACTACCGTGGATCAGGAAGGGGTGAGGCAACTTCATTCACTGGCCCGCATTAACCAGGCTCCACACTCCACAGTCAGCAACAACCCGGAGAGGAGGGGGAGTCGTGTCTTTCCTTTCGCTCCCCAGATCAGAATGACCGGAAAAGTCAAAATCAAATCAAACTCTTGTCCGTGCGCACTGTGGCTCCTCTCTTGTTTAATCAGATCATTAATAAAGTCACACTTTGAGCCCTTTTTCTGCGATGCCATTGCTCTGGTCTTCTCAGAGTCACCACGAGCACACACAAAGCACTTCAGGCCTGATTTAGCTTTGGTCAGACTCTGTCACGGACCGAGTTGACAACTGGAGATGGAGCCAGTTTCAGCTCAGGATTTCAGGATAAGCCTAGACTTCTTAAGCAGCTTCAATAGAATACCCCCATAGAATTGAATGTACAATAAGAGACTGACTATGTTTATACAACTGTATGTCATATATATATAGTAGGGGGTCCCTGCTCCAGCTCTCCATCAGTTTGGGGGTCCCTGGCCTGAAAAACGTTGAAGACCCCTGCTTGAAGATATAACGTAAATTCACAAAGTAATTTCATCTAACCCCATCTCCATTACATGTGGTTAGTTGTAGATAGTAGGCTCGAGAGGGGCAGAAGTGATGAGGTAGTGCTGGTGGTGTAAACTTCTGTTGTAAACTTCTGATCTAAACTGTTTTTTGGACTGTTTGACATTTGACATTTTTATTTTAAAGGATTCAATTAAGAGCATGTTCATGTTCATTTTGTCTTTATAGAAAACTTATAGAAACTGTGACAGACCTCCTCCCACGTATCCCCATAGAAATGTTGCTTTGGCTATAATTCTGGGTTTTTATTCTCTGTTCCTATGAAATTATGCAGATGATGTGCCAAACATTTGTCTGACCTTAACCTAAAAAACCATTAAAATACCTTATTTATAAAGACCCGGCAGCAGACCGTCCCTCCGAAGCATACCATTTAACGCCAGCCATCACATATTATATAGGCCTTTCATGGGTTTCAGAATGAGAGGCCATTAGGACGGTTGCCATAGCAATTAACAAATCAAAACTGAATATTATACCTTTCAAAGCAAGCTTTTTAAAGGACCAATATTATGCTATTTTCGGAATGATGTTATATTGTTGTTTCCTCATCACACATACCTGTATTTTGTTTCATTCACACAAACCTGAAAACACTCTGTTTCACCTTGTGATGTCATGTGGTAATACAGGAAGTGTTCCACTGTGTTTTTAAACTCCATACACCTTCACTAGAACCATTTGGATCATTTCAGCCATAGGATCTCCAATCTCTACTGAACTAAAGGTACAAGGAAAACTATTGCTTCATGACATCCCAAGTTGGAACAGAGCATTTTGAACTTTGGAGATGCAGACAGACTAATAATAAAGGATTACTCAAACATGTGTGAATGAAACCAAACACCACTCAAGGTATGTTTTTGATGAGGTAAGGTGAGGTCAGTTTAGTGTAGTATAAGACCTTGTAGTAGCAGTTCTCACCCTGTATGCGCAGACTCTCCTGGTACTGGATGATGAAGTACTCCTGGTTGTGTTGGAGTTTGCGCAGGTCATTTTCCGTATCCTGGCTGAACATTCGCAGCTCCTCAAATGCCTGGTTGATCTGCTGGTACTTCTGTGACATGCTGTCCATCATAGCACCCAAAGGAGAGGCCGACTGCAGAAGAACAATAATGAATGATCGGCTGAGTGAAGGCTGTGTCAGTAGGATCAAGGATATAGACAATAGAGCAGGGTAGAGGTGAACGTCCAACGCACAACACTGGATTTCGAATTATGTTTACAAAAGAAATGCTGTACTGAGTTTTCATAACTGAAATATGGTCAAAAGGCTTATAAAACATAACATTTTTGCTGATTTCTTTCCAGATATCTCCTTTGTCATAAAACCCACTGAAGTAAATGTGATCAACGGTAAAATGAAGTCTGCATATATATGTGCTGTTTGGAATCATCTGGAATTTGGCACCTTCATTTCTTCTAATCGCATTTTCCCAGTGCGCTCGGAGTTGGGAAATTATGAAAACTGAGGTATGATTGTAAATGTTGATTAGCCGAACATAACGGAACACTACAATAACATGGAGATGAAGAAAAGTGGACCATTTTCTCATTTTTATTAGATTTTGTCAGACTTACTACAATAAACAGAGCCCGCCAGAAGTTGTCATCGCATCTTTCCAAATTCCTGGTTCGTGATGTAAGTGTGAATACAGCCTATTTGCATAGTTTTTTTTTCTTTTTTTATGAAAATTAGAAAACATGTATTTTCCAACTTCAAAAATCAACTCTAGCTCTGAAATACAGGACATTGAAAGCTGCAGTCTATTTACTTTGCAGCTTCCCTGGGGGTGTGACCTTAATCTAACCTTTGTGACTTTAATCTGAGCTTTGTTTTAAAATGATCTGACCACAAAGAATTGACTTAGTCGAAAGTACAACCAGTGTTGCCAGATGCCCACCCAATTGGGCTCCTTTTGACTACGTCGGGTGGGGAGAGGAAGCCTTAGGTGGGCAAATAATATTTGGGCTAATTTCAACCAGTTTGGGCGTTTTTTATTATCACACCAATCAACGAGATACACAGACTTTCATTCCTATTCATTCTTATGGAGGTGCGCTCCAGCCTGTGCACAAATGAATGGACGTCCGCTAAGTTCAGACCTTCTCGGTGTTCAGCTGTTGCACAGATTCAGTTCTTCGATAAGTGAGTCTCAGGCTCTGTGTTTGCCACCTGTTCTTGCAGTAGTCAAAGCTATGGCCGACTATTGATGATATTCATTTTTATGCATGATGAAAACACTGTTCTACGTTTTACCAAAGGTTTTACATAACATGTTTTCACAATCCTGGCAATGTTTTTTTTTAAAAGCTAATAGATTAAGTTACAACATTCAAATATTCAAATATTAGACTAAATGACATTTTTTTCTGTGATAAATGAAAATGCTGTTTTACATTTAACATGTTTTTTTCAATATTGGCAATGTTTTTAAAAAGCCTACAGATTAAATAGCATACAGCATTTTTATTTAAATATTACATTTTGTTGTTTCTGTGATAACAATGGATTACATCTATTTATTCAAAAATTACATGTTTTCTGTGACAAAATGTTGGCCGGTATTTTGCTGAAGAGGGCAGGTTTTCGAACATGATTGGGCGAAAATCATTAAACCCAAATTGGCAACACTGAGTATAACAACTGATCTTATTTTGTACTGTTACACAAGTGTTTCACACATATAATTACAGTCACAAGCTAGCTAGCATTAGCCAACAGTCACTCTCAGCGCTTTTGTTGAAAATTAAACACTGAAACAGGACCATGAACATTTGTATTGATCACAGGCATTTAAAAAATAAATAATTCTTGAGTTTTCAGACAAACGTAAAACTTTTTTGCCTTTTTGGTTTGCTAATGTGTGCATTTGCATCTCCATGGTAACCTTCCCGTCTCCTTCTAGCGTGATGTCATTGTGCAAAGAATGAATTAAAAAAGGTTTCAAGTACGTTGTAACAAAAATAAACTAATTACACTGAGTTTCAAGATCACTTTTCACTTTCATTCACCAACCCACAGCTCAAAGCCTGCTTCTGCTGCGCCCTTGGGCAAGACACAGCCGCCTTTGCCAAAGAAAACAGGTGTGTGAATGATACTGTAAACATGAATGGAATGCCTAACAACAAATATGAAAAGCATGCATCTCAATTTTCTTCTGAACGTGATCTGTCCTGGTTAAATAAACTAATAGGGAATTTAAAGATATACTATGTAACTTTTGGAGGATTGGCTTTGAATGAATTTTCCACTGCATGACATTAAACTTTTTAATTAATTAAATAACCATTGCATTTATATAGCGCCTTTAAGACACCCAAAGCGCTTTACAGTTCATTGTTCATTCGCTCCACACTCAGTGGTGGTAAACTTCTACCGTAGCCACAGCTGCCCTGGGGCAGGCTGACAAAAGCGAGGCTGCCAATCTGCGCCATCCACACCTCCGACCACCACCAACACTCACACACTCCACTTTCATACTAAACTTGCATTTATTTACGGGTGTGTATATATATAAACTTTGAAAACTGCATTCTTACAGTGAGTGGGCTTGCCTCTCCACAGATCAGACTTGTAATTTAGTAGTTTAATTTCTGTATTGACAACTGCTTGTTCCATAGAGATAAATTTAATTCAAAGTTTAAAGGGCTTATTTTCTGATCTATGTTATAATGTTATTTCCTCATCCAGAAACAGACCTGGAGTAGTGTTTTGTTTCATTCACACATGTTTAACACACAAACCTGCATATTTAGGCTGAGCTCAAAAAGAAAACACTTGTTCCACCTTGTGATGTGCTCACTGTTTAAACTTTAAACTCCATACACCTTCACTAGAATCATTTGGATGATTTCAGCCTTGGAATTGCCAATCTCTACTAACCTACAGGTAAAATGTTAACTTGGGAACTACCGCCTCATGACATCACAAGGTGGGACAGAGTATTTTGATCTTTGAAGATGTAGATAGACTAAAAACTCAACTCAACTCCAAGTGTGTTTTTGATGAGGTAACAGCATTATAACACGGCTGAAAGCTCACAAGAGTCAATTTCGTGTAATATAGGACCTTTAATGCCATACTGGGGAATGATCCATGCAAAGGAATGACATCTCCATGGATACTAACTGGTGAGAAAGGTTTCATAGTGCACCTTTAACATGCCCTCTCCTTAAAATGAACTAAAGCAGTTATCTTTTGTTTTTGTAAATTGGAGATGTGTTTGTTGAACTGTAGCTGCTAAAATACATCAATACAGTAAAAATATTTCTCTGACTTTTTGCGTTGAATCTCACCGACTCAAGAGACAAGAGGAAATGAAGCTGTTATCAGAGCGCTGCAGACGGCACGGTCAGTTAAAGCAGCGCTTGTGGTACGTTCAGGGTCCAGACAAAAGCGAGGGAACTCAATCACTCCAAATATGAAATCCAGTAATAAAGGCAACATGATGAGACAGGAAATCGCTTCACTGCAGGAGACGTGCTGCCTGGGTTTAAGAACAGTCTGCATTTTAAAGGCGCATTGTGGAACTTTGCCAGTGCGTTTGGTCTATGCCAGGGGTGAGCAAACCAAGGCACGGAGGAATTTTGAGGGGCACGCACAGCAAAATGGTCAGAAACAAACAGTCCTGCTGCGCTCATTGACACGTGAACAGTGCGCTCTTCACCACAGCTCACAGCAGAGATGATTGACATCTGCTTCTGTAGAGACTCTGTCCAAACTCATCTAACCTTTTCCCCTCACTGGCCTTTGAGGTCTCTCCTCTGATCTGTCTGAGGGTGGAGTCCCTATCCTTTCACCATGACCTGTGAAAAATGTAGGGATGTAACGATATCCAAATCTCTCTGTACGACATTTTCACGACATGCATCTCATGGAACGACATTTATTTAGATTTAAGAGGCTAACAAAACTGTGAATATGCTACTTTTCCCTTTAAAAATGCATTGACAAGACTTTGGCTCTGTCATAAACCAAAGAGTTAAGAATTAAAAGTGCTTATAGCTAGGGCCTGACCAGTATATCAGTTGGGCGATATTATCAGCTAATTTGGGCACTTGGAGACATATCGACTATCAGCCTAAATCTTTTAAATAAATTTAACTTCAGCGCACTTTAGGCCAGCAACAAAACTGCTTATTAGTGAAGACTTGTGATCTGAGAGGAGCCTGTGTGAGTGGTGAGTGTTGCAAAATGCATCAGTTTTGAAGTTACTTTTCATTCTTTCTCATTGGTTAGCTCTTCCCTGCTGTAGCTCCCATACTTAAACAGCCTATTTTCTCTTCCATTGGCCTAGTGTAAAGTGACTATAGTGGCTGTACACGTTACTGGACCTGCATTGATATGTAAATGAGCTTTGAACAGAGATGTGAATCATCAGAATTTACGCATTTACTTTACTAATTAATTACCGCTACAGTCTAATAGTGGCAATTTACTTACTTTCTTTTCTAGCTACAATGTTATGTAAAAATGCCATTAGACCAACCTACTGTCTTTAAATATGACAGTAAAGAGGCAGAATAACAATAAATGTTGCCTGAACAAACTCAATTTAAGATCCAGTAGAGCCAGACTGAAGAGACCTGAGATTTAGAGATGTTCGATGATACAATATCACTATATTTCGGTCATTAATGTTTTTATATTGTGCTGGTTTTATTGGAAAGCACTTTGGTCACCTTGAGTGTTGTAAAGGGCTGTATAAATAAAGTTTGATTGATTGTTTGTTGTTAGATCCCTAGCAAAATGTACTGCGTAGTTTTGATTCTGAGTCAAAAATCGCAACAGACTTTACAGCTCTATATCGTCAAAGTGTCACTAACAATCAGACTACTGGGGCCCTTACAAACTGAATACATTTCCATATTGAAAGAGGTAAGGCAGAGGGTTTACGCCAAGATTCATAAACATCCATAAACTACACATGGAATAAAATAACAAATGCATAAATAATAAAACAGCTGTGAAGTTGTCAGCACTTTTGATAAATTGCTACTCCACATATGATTTTTTAAAACTTTGTACCAAAATGACTTCGTGACACTGCCAAATCCTACGTGTATAAATGATAAAGAAAATAAAACTGGAGATCGAAGTAAGTACAGAAAAGTAGGCGTGTAACGGGGATAGTGAAAAGAGGCTTTGATCTGCAAAATGGCGTTTCGAAAATACACCATTAAAGGCTGCTCAAACATGCACATACATAAAAATTAAGTAATAGAGGAATGGAATAAATGAGAAGGGAAAACAAAGCTCTGAAAAGTCCATTTTGCATAATACGCCTACTTTAAGATGAAATTGCATATATTTTTGTGTGGTACGTGTTTTGTGGCATTAACTACCCAAAAACCAAAACACAGATGTTGCAAACAATGAATAGCTTTCAATACATGAATTCGCAATCAGCTGAATATATGAATTAAAAATCAGAATTTGGACGGCTATATTCCCAACAAATCATTTTATTTTAAAATTTTTACCAGTGGGCTTTTTTGACTCTACCTACATGACGTAACTAGGCAACAGGGAAGCCAATAAGTACAAATCAATTCACCGCAGGAGACGGCCAAAGACAAATCTCTCACGCTTCCTCGGATTTTCAGATTTATAGTAAAACGGCTTGCATTTTTCTACACTATCAAATATTCTGTTTTCAAACTCCAATCACGTTCCTGTATTGTGAGTCCATTGTGTGATAGAGTATAGCGTGCCCATTAAATCAAAATTGCCCCATTATTTTGTTGTTATACCATTTACTCCCATTATGTAGCCGAGTTGTTGTCCGTTATGTGGGTTTACGGCTGAATAATGCATGAGAGGGAAGGCAGAGGGCATGTTCTTCAAATTCTTGAAAAACAGGCTAAAATTAGGGATGAAATTTGAATATATTTGCGTTTTTCATTTAGCTTATATTAGCAATTATTGAGTGCGTTTACGTGCACATCAGTATCCCGGTTATGATCGGATTTTTTGAGTATCTCAGTTTCTTCATGGTGCATGTATACGTAGTACCCCGGTTTCAGTATCCTGATTACTAGAAACTGGGTTACTGTAGCTGATATATTCCGATAGTAACCAGGATACAGTGGCATGTATACACAGTATCCTGGTTACTGCAACATAAAGCTGAGTACGCATGCGTCCAAAAGACAAACACTTTTCAATCTTTTCACTGCAACAGTAGCGACATAAATAACGTGACCAACATAAATAAAGTGACCAACATAAATAAGGTGACCATACATAAGTGAAATGACTGTAAAATAAAGAGCTGCGCTAAATCTGCACACGTACAATCTGCACTTGTATGACCTGCACGCGTATGATCGCTGAAAAGCTAAACATGAACGATCTCCTCTACGATATACAAAACAGACTTACCATCATTAGCAACTCCTCTGTCACAAAAAGAATGCACATATTCCACTGAATCATGTCCTTTAGTCCGACAAAAGCTGAACCACATCAGGGCACAAGGAGCGAGCTGTTTTTATCAGCGCTAACAGTTTATGCAAATGAGCCATGTGGTTTTAAGTTTTGTTTCTGTAAAATGTAAACGAATGTGATCAAAGCTGCATTATATTATCAAATGGGCTGATGTTGCTCTATATGGTTATAGTTTATATGTTGTAAAGTTGAGTTTATTTAAGCAGAAGATTTTAATGAAGAATCTGTTGGGTTTGATGTGTGCAGTGGATTGTGGGATATCTCAGAGCTCCTCACCGCTGGTTAAACCTCCCGAGCTTCCTCTGCTAAAGGAGCTCATGGTTTGTATTTTTCCTGGTTTATTAATTTAAATTAAGTAAATTTTTGCGCTTGAGCATTTATACAGGGATATGAGTATCCCAGTTTCTCAGCGTGCATGTATATGCAGTATTCCGAATACTGACATAACTGGGATACTCATTGTTTTGTTTTGTAGCCTTACTGATGCTTTGCAGTGACATGTTTTTATTCATTTTTATATAGTTTTTCCACCTTCAAGGCACTCAAAGCGCTTTAAAAAGAGGAACCACTCACCCATTCACACACTAGGGGGTGAAGTGGGTGAAGTGTCTTGCCCAAGGACACAATAACAGCATTCATCTGCGGGAGCTGAAATTGCACCGCCAAATGCTCAAACCAATGATGTTTCTGTCAAGAGCAAGATTTGGACCACCAACCTTTGGATCAGTGGACAAACGCTCTACCGACTGAGCTACTGTCGACCCAAATCAGGCTGGGAGTGTTCTACATGTATCCCTATGGCGGAACGTTCAGGTGTTTCCATGGTTACACAATGCACACATTAGCAAATATGGATTCAAACAGCACATCCGCAATTTTCAGAAGCCTGTGATCAATACGAGCGTTCATGGTTCTGTTTCGGTGTTTGATTTTCAATAAAAAGGTGAGAGTGACTAACTGAAAAACTGTTAATGCTCGCTAACTTGTAACTGTAATATTATTTGAGAGAGGTTTGTTTAACAGAAAAGAGCAGCTCACCTGTTGTAGTTCCAGCTCAGATTTTGTTAAAACAAAACTCAAATAAAAGGCCAACAAAGCCTCAAACAGAGTAATGCCAACAGCCCCCGCAGTAAAGTCTCACCTTCAAACCCACGTTTAGTCTTTAGCTCTTCTGTGGGTTATTATTTATTTATTTTATTCATTCATTTATTCTTTTTAACAATTTTTGTTTTACATAGTTGAATGCTTTTTATTTCTTGTTTTAATTACTATTTACTGCCTTTTATTGTCCTCATTTGTTATGTCATGTTTATGAAAGGTGCTTTATCTAAATAAAGTGGATTAGATTGGATAATGTTCCTTTAATGAGTCCATATTGCGCTATTTTCTGATCTATGTTATAATGTTTCCTCGTCAAAAACATACTTGGAAATGTGCTTTGTTTCATTCAAACATGTTTAACACGCAAACCCTGTGTATTTAGACTGAGTTCTTCTCTCAAACTGAAAACACTCTGTTCCACCTTGTTATGTCATGTTGTAATATAGTAAGTGTTTTTAAACTTCATATACTTTAAATAGAATCATTTGGATCATTTCAGTCCAGGAAATGCACCAATATCTACTGATTTAAAGGTAAAAGGTAGCTGCTAACTTGAAAACTACCACTACATGGCATCACAAGTTGGAACAGAGCATTTAGACCAGGGGTGTCAGACCCAAATTCACAGAGGACTAAAATTAAAAAAGTCGTGGGCCAAACTAAATATTTATTGAAAAATTTCAACATCTGCATGTTTTCTCTTCTTTCAAGATATGTAATGTTAAGCCTTTTCTTGTTCAAATAAATGTTTAATAATAGTTTTGCTTAAACATTGAATCCAGAACAAGCAAAATATAAAATAATAACAACATTTTAAATAAATAATGCCTCTATATCTGTAGTCGGCAGGCCAGCTCTAATACATATTTGATATGAGCTTGGGGGCCAAATATAATTATATCGTGGGCCAAATTTGGCCCCCGGGCCTGAGTTTGACATGTCTGATTTAGAGCTTTGAAGATGTACAGAGATTAATAATAAAGGATTACTCAAATATGTGTGAATGAAACAAAACACAATTCCAGGTATGTTTTTAACAGCTCACAATAGTCAATTTTGCATAATATAGGACCTTTAATTATAGGTTTTTGTCCAAGCCTTGATTTAAACATACAGATGAGACATGGTTAAAACATTGGGTTTCTGCCAAGTTGTTTCCCATAATTTCCTCAAAAGCTTCCAAGATGAAATTTCCAATGATTATTAGGATAAAATCTACAAAAAACCTGTTTTGAATTGAATGATGTAGTTGTTTTCTTATATTAATGTGTTCATTTCAGACAGTACTGTATTTTTTCAAATGTGGTGAAATTAATATTGAAAAAAAAAAAAGAAAAATCAAAACGCATAGGTCTGTATAATATGGGAGAATAGTTGAACTCACATTTGTTGCCTCTCTCACCAGTCTCTGCTCCGTGTACAGAATATGTTTTATACATCGCACCAGCTCCAAAGGACTGCGATCGTATATGCCCTGGAAAAACAGAGAAAAAAATACAGTAAATATACCTCAAACAGCAGGTAGTACGATAGCAGTGATATAATACTTTATTCTAAACATATGAACAGGTCTTGGCAAGTAGAAAAGCTTTATGAAGGAAAATAGAAGGAAATGGATCTTCTGGGATTAACATACGCTACAAGCCAATGTTTCTTTTCATTCAGCATTCTTTTCTCTTTATGTGTCCTACTTTCTACTTTTTAGATACACACAGACGAATTAAATATATGAAGAAAGATATGTGAAATTATATAGTAAAGAGAAAGTTAAAGGTGCATTGTGTAACTTTTCTGGTGGTTATTGCTTTGTCTAGAATGTTTCACAGTTTCTATCTTCACAGAGACCAAACCAGAGCAAGTTACAGGTCAGATCTGTGGAGATTTGACCCCACTCACAGTCAGAATGTCTGTTTTTCTAGGTATTTTTGAGCTATAAAACCACCTGTAATTGAATAAATATACCATACTTTTTCACACTTTTTTTCATGGTTCGGGTGGTTCTGCGACTTATACTCTGGTAAGACTTATATATTAAAATTTTCAGGCTGACAGCTGCGAGAAAGTGCTCTAGGCTCGTGTGTCAGTATCTACTACTACTATTACTCCTGTACACTGTCACTTCGCCCTGCAGTGCACATGCCTCCTGTAGAAAAAGCCACTGTCTTGTCGCAAACAGTGAAATATTCAGCCAAAATGGTAATGGAGCAGCAAAAAGAAAGTTTGGAGTGAGCGAGAAACTTCTGAGGGAAAGGCGGGGATGGAGAACACAACTTCATGGGAACCGGGTGGGTGCACCATGTAACTTTCCTGGAAGTCACTGGATGAATCGACAAAGCCTGAACTTCAGTGACAATCGAAACCATCCTGTCATGATTCAGAAAGGCTGGAATAATTGTAACTGGAACTGATGCTGAGTCTGACGACAGCTACACAGAAGAGGAAGCGGCGCTTTGTTTACCTTATGGATCTACAGTTTATCTCCGGAGATTGCGCAGAAGTGACACCGAAGATGAAAAATTCAATGGATTTAGTGATTTAGAGTGAGATCATGAGTTTGGTAAACTTATGTTCTGTTGTTTATGCTATAATTATCTGAATAACTGTTAATATGTTACGTTAACGCCTATTCAGTCTGTTCTCTGTTCTGTTGTTATTACTATAACTTGCCTTTCAAGATGAAGTGTCGGTTCCTGGTCACTGATTTTACAAAATACATTTCCATAAAAAGTGCGACTTATAGTCTGGTGCGACTTATATTTTTTTTTTTTCTTCTTCATTGTGAATTTTTTGGCTGGTGCAACAACCGGAGCAACTTATAGTCCAGAAAACATGGTAAGGTAAAGCTGTTTAATGTCATACTATGGAACATTCCAGACAGAGCAATGACATATCCATAGAAACAAGCCCCAACCAAAAAGTTGCATAGTACACCTATGGTTTGCAAAATTAACTGTGTAATATACTGCACACAACTAATTTAGACCCCTGCCAACAGGGTGTGAAAAGCATGTTGTGATTCTTATAGTGGTTAAATTTTTTATCTTCTCTCAAATATTAATGCTGCAGATTTTTCATTGTTACAAACAAACACGGCTCAGGTACACAGATATTTTTGTCAGTAAGAAAAAAGAGATAAAAATAAAAGCACAGAGTGTTAAGAAAGTCACTGTGGCATGAATAAAGTTCTAATCAAAAATGTTTCTTCAAGGTGAGTAAAAATGGGTCCCAGATATTTGAAAATGCGTTTATAGAGCAGGTTTGCAGGATATGCCGATCTCTACTGAACTAAAGGTAAAAGGATACCACTTCATGACATCACAGGGTCAAACAGAGCATTTTAAGCTTTGGAGATGTAAACTAAAAATGCAGGGTTACTCAAACATGAGTGAAAGAAACAAAACACAACTCCAGGTATGTTTTTGAACAGTATTTTACCAAGGCTTAAAGGTGCATTGTGTAACTTTTCTGGAGATAGATTAGTTTATTGCCATACTGTGGAACATCACCTCAAAGAATATCTAATTAAAATGGCACTTACAGTTCTAGAAAGACTACTTTTTAAAATAAACCTACATAATGGTTACAGGAATACTGATAAGCTAGTGATAATGTTGATGAAGAGGCAGTTGTCTCCATGGAGAGAAGTAAAATTAATGCCATACTGGAGAACAAGGAGGCAATTTGGTGGCTGTTACTTCAAGACATTTTATCAAAGCTCTCACTGAATATAACCGTTACAGGAATAATGCTAGACAGCTTTTTAAATTGATAACTGCCACTTCATCAACATCGTCACCTGCGTGTCTCCATGGAGATGGACAAGTTTAACCCTTCCAGACCTAAGGGCAATTTTAGTACATCTGTCCCTGTCTGGATTTTTTTCTTAATTTTGCTATTAAAACTCCCCCTTTAACCCTAAATGAAACGTTATACATCTTTTTTTTTCCAGTACAACCTGTTATTTCACAATCTACATGCTGTAGTTGTGTCATATGGTGGTAAGGACCAGAAATGCAAATGAAACAAACAAACTCACATCTTTCATACAAGACACACAGCAAACATGTATAAACAACTTTTTGGACATAAAAAATGCTTAATTTAGGGCCTTAGCTACAAAATGCATCCATCTTGTTTCAAGTTGTCAATGATAGCATTTTTTGTCAACTCTTGGTGGGGCAACATTTGCCAATAGATAAAGACACTGCCTCGTGACATGTCAAACGTTTCTAGCGTAACACTTGCCTGCGCCGCCACGTAGTTTACGTTGTCAAGTCCACAGACGCAAGCCGCACAACGCTGTTATCACCAACGCAAAGTTCTTAGTGGCTTTTTTGACCTAATCTTCCTCGCAGTTAGCACAAAGTTTGTTGCAATCAAGAAAGTTCGCCCAAAGAAAAGGTCGCTAAGGAAAAGCAGCAAAGAAGGTGATTCTTGAAGATTCACACAAGCAAACTAAAGACTGACACTGGTCGCCAAACTCCACAACTTATTATGAAAAACATTTAGTCACAGACACATGTCTGAAAACGTATCAACAAGAAAACGTGTTGTAGCTAATGCACTGAATTCCGCAAAATGCTTCACTTTCCGGGCACTTAAAATATGCTAGCTACAAAAGCTGCAAAAAAAATCACGCTGCAACATTTAAGAAAATCCTCTATAAACTTTAAACTAAAACATACTTATTGCCTCAAAACAAAAACAAAAAAAACATGCAATCACTCCTTTACTTTCTTGGTGCCAGTCATGGAAACAGCTGGAGTCAGGTCCAGGGCACAGAGCCACATCACTTCCTACATTTGCATGGTGTGTATTACATTTGTATTTGTACATTTAGAGTGACATAAACATTTCAAATAAAAATAGCAAGGGATGCGCAATTACACAGACCAAGATGCGTAATTTGCCATTTATTTGAGAAATAACTGCACTTAGAGCAGCTTTTTCAATTGTTACAACACAAGCGTTCAGACTCACTACACTCTTTGGCAAAGTTTGGGCCAATCAAAATGGATGGAACGCATGTATTTGGTGGAAAACAAAGTTCCTATTGAACTCATTTTTGTAGGATAATGCCAGAAATATGCTCTGGAAGCAGTAACTGTCCGCTTCAGGGGGAAAAAGTACCATATTTTTCAGACTATAAGTCACACTTTTTTCGTGGTTTGGGTGGTCCTACGACTTATACTCCGGTGCGACTTATATACATATATACAAATTTTCCAACTGACAGCCTTGAGAGGGCACTCTAGGCTCGTGTATCAGATTTATGAGCATGTCACCTGCAGACCTGTTGCAAGTCATGAAATATGCAGCCAAAAACGAAAATCAAGCAACAGAAAGAAAGTTTGGAGTGAGTTAGAAACTTGTGAGGGACTGGAGAAAAGCAGGAATGGAGAACACAACTTCTCAGTATCTAGGAGGGTTCACCATGCCTGGACTTCAGTGACAACCGAAGTTGCGCAGAGTTGCTCAGAAGTGACACAGAGGGTGAAGAATTCAATGGATTCAATGGATTTAGTGATTTGGAGTGAGATTGAGAGTTTGGTAAACTTATGTTATATTGTCTATGCTATATATCTGAATTATCTAAATGTTAATATGTTAGGTTAACATGCCACACACCTATTCAGCCTGTTATTCTTTATTTTATTGTTATTACTATAACATGCCTCAGTTTCTGGTCCATGACTTTATAAAATAAATTTGCTCCAAAAAGTGTGACTTATAGTGGTGCGAGTTATATGTATTTTTTTCTTCTTCATTATGCATTTTTTAGCTGGTGCGACATATAGTGGGTTATATAAAACATATTCCCAAGTATCGTATACAATACCATCGATTTGGAAGGGTTAATGCCGTACTGCGTAACAAGGAAATAATTGTTGGTTAATACTCCAGGAAATGTTGTCAGAACCCTTAACATAACTATTACAGGAATAATGGTAAAACCGGAATTTAAAACTGATACAATAACTGATGCAACTGCCACTTTATCTCCATGGAGACAAGCAGGTGATGATACAGTTTATAGTTTAACGCCGTACTGCGGAACATTGCCTAACACTGAACAGGATTTTTTTTTTTACTGCTAACCGCCACCTCATCAACATCATCACCTGCTTGTCGCCATGGAGATAGACAAGTTTAGTGACATACTGTGGAACAATGAAATCATTTTGAGTCTGTTATGTTTTCAAAGCCCTAATTCTGCAAAACCATCACATGAATACAGCATTTTTTAATTTTTGTTTTAACTGGTAACTGCCACTTCATCAGGCTCATCATTTCAGCCCTCACACACTATATGGAGCACTGGGGTGTGGGAGCAGTCAAAACGTGCCCAGAAAGCGAAGGTGGTGATGTGCCCAGTTAGCCCCCGTTAGGCCTGGAGATCAGCGTGTCTGTGGACGAGGCTCTGTCCAATTTCCAAGTCCAGGAAATGCAGGGGGCTAATGGAGCACATGTGGAGAGACAGCCTGCAGGTCTAATCACCAACATACACACGCCATGGAAGTAACATAATAGACAAGGCTTTCAAAAGACAATGATACTGCAGGTTATTCAGTTCAACGTTATGGCTTTATGGAGGACAGGTGAATTTGCACATTTATGGTTTTACATTTAAAGGTGGCAAACCCTGCTTGTCTCAGTTGAGTTAATTCAATTTAATGCCATTATGTGGAACATAAGCAGGACAAGCAGGTGGAGAACTCTCCTCTAAAAAAAGCTACATAGTGCACCTTTAAATGGCACACACCTGAATAACCCATGCATCTAGAATTAACGATACTTATTTAGAAATAGTATACAGATTTCCAGTGTTGCGTTTTGATATCTGACAATGTTTAAACCTCATGTGGCACTGGTAATAAAAGAAATCTGTTAACCATATTGTAACATTGCTCCCTCACGATATTGCTTCATTCTCCCTCATGTCTGTTTTATTAATCCTGTTTATAAGATCCTCTCCCTCTGAGCACTCAGAAAACACTTGTTTTAAAAATTCCCAGGATTCTTATGTCACAGGTAAAAGTCCAGAGGTGTCCTGCGCTGTATTTAAGTCCATAAATCATTGCCAGACTCATTCTAGGTATTTATGGTGTACAAAAGCACTCATTACAACTTCATGCCAGTGCTACCATGTCAGAAAAAGTTGGCTCACTCAAAGTCAAAAGTTGCTAACACTTTTCTCAATAGTAATTCCCTCTGCTGCCAGTAGAGGGAGAGTGCATCTATAAGAGCAAGGTCTGAAGATAGCCCATATTTCAAACTCTAAAACATAAGATACAAAAGCAAAGGCACTCAGGAGCATGTTTAAAAGCCAACAATACAAATAATGCATAATATGTGTCCTTTAAATTATGTTCAATCAATTTCTTCTTATAATCACATTAAAACACTCATGTCCGTTTGGCAATGACAAATCTCTAGAATCACTTCTGTAATACTGTCGATGAAAAACACTCATGCACTTTCATTTTATGTTTCGTTAATATGTATGTATCTAAATTAGGCCCATATTACACAATTTTCTGATCTATGTCATAATGCTGTTTCCTCGTCACAAACAGACCTGGAGCTGTGTTTTGCTCCACTCACACATGTTTAACACCCAAACCCTGCATAGTTAGGATGAGTTATTACTCTCTCAAACTCTATAATCACTTGGATAATTTCAGCCCAGGGATTTCCAGTTTCTAGTAAAATAAAGGTAAAAAAAACCAGCCGTTAACTTGAAAACTACCGCTCATTATGACATGACAAGGTTTAACAGAGCGTTTCAAGCTTAGGAAATGTAAACAGCCTAATAATAAAAGCTTACTCCAACATGTGTGAATGCTACAAAACAACCCCAGGTATGTTTGTGATGAGGCAACAGCTATCTAACACAGCTTAACACAGCTCTCAAGAGTCATTTTTGCGTAATGTGGGACCTTTAAAAATACTTTTCTAGGCTCTTGCTCATTCTTTCTGAGTACAGCTGGTAATGTGTAACCCCCATCTGCTGTGTGCGGGCTGTGATGGGTCCACTGTGCAGGGCGTGGAGTCAGGACCATAAATAGTGGTGTGGAGGGAGACAAAGGATTGTGTGGTTTAACATCACACAAAACCTGTTCTGAGGCATTTCAGCAACACAAACTCTTTCTAGGAATCACGGAGGGAGAGGCTGCACTTATCGGCTATCATCGTGGGTAGTAGTGACACCCACATAGCTAATTGTTAAAAGCCCTATATGACACTAAACGGATTCCTGTAAGGTTTAAGTCATGTTAGAACACGGTTTCCTCATCAAAAACGTACCCAGAGTTGTTTGAGTGAGCATTTACATGTGATATTTTTCAAGTTACCAGCTACTTTTTACATTTTGTTCAGCAGAAATTGGTTGTTCCAGAGCTGAAATCATCCAAATAATTCCAGTGAAGTTGTGTGGAGTTTAAAAGCGCAGTGGAGCACTTCCTGTAGTACCACATGACATCACAAGGTGGACCAATGGGTGAATAATTCAGCCTAAATATGCAGGATTTGTCTGTTAAACATGTGTAAATGAAACAAAAAACAACTCCGGGTATGTTTGTGATGAGGAAACAACATTCTAACATAGGTGAGAAAATAGTGTAATATAGGCCCTTTAAAAACATGAAAGATTTCGACAATTATGACTCTAAAAAAGCTTGGTTTAAAGTGACAGATTAGATTACTGAGTTCACAAAAACTTGGTTAACATCATTTTACTGTTTGATATACGATCTCGCCAAAGAACGTTTTTCAGTAACGGTTATAATTTTACTTCTTGGTTGGGTGCAGCAGATATGACATACATAAGAGGTAATTCCAGAATGGTCTCCTAGCAACTACATTTTAACGAGGGCAAAACTTGTCCAAATGACACACTAATGAAAACAAGTGACCACACCTTTATGTTGTTAAATTTAGTCTTAAACTTCCTTATGGCGTGAGCTGACTCTGCATTTTCAATTGAATTTAAGTCGAGTAATAATTAGGAAAACAAAACAAAGCATGACAACCACACGCACTTAAAGCTCCTTTCTTATGTAACATTGAATCGTGTGAGCTTTAAAACATGTTATAATGAGGTTACCTTATCAAAAGCATACCTGGAGTTGTGTTTTGTTTGAGTAATCCTGGTTTATTAGTCTGTCTACATCCCCAAAGCTCAAAATGCTCTGTTCCACCTTAATGTCATAAAGTGGTATTTACTTTACTATAAGGTAAAAGGTAGCTGTTGAAGTCGGCAATTCCAGGGCTGAAATGATCCAAATCAATCTACAAAGGCATTGTTTCCCAAAGACTGGGTCGCAAGAGTATTTTTTTTGGATTACCTTGTCACGATCTGCATGTAGGTTGAAATGTTAAGACATGTTTCGTAGAATTTCTAATCTTTTTGTAACAATCTTTTTGACTATTTTGTTCCAGGATTGGGTTACATTTAATGTCCAAACACACAACTTATGGAGACTTTTTATTGCTGGTTGCTTTTATTTTGTGATTTACAAATAATGAATAAATACTGACTTGGGTTGCGAAGGTTTGCGAATTTTAAAATATGGATCCCAAGATAAAAAGGTTGGGAAACACTGTACAAAGGGACTAAGGTTTTTGCATAATCTTGTCTTTTAATATGCATTGTCCCTTTAATAAATAAATAAATAAAAATACAAATTCTAGTGAAGGTGTATGGAGTTTGAGAAAAGAACTCAGCCTAAAAATGCAAGATTTGTGCGTTAAACATACAAATGAAAGAAAAAACACAACTCCAGGTCTGTTTGCGATGAGGAAACAACATTATAACAGATCAGAAAATAACGTAATATGGGCCTATTTAAAAGTAGAATACTACTGATACAACCATAGAGACATAGCTGCTAATTTTTAAATTTGAAATCATACTTTTTTAAAATACAAATTATTATAAAAATTAAAAAATTCATCTTCCTAGCTTCTCCGTTTTGTTTTGTATTGTTATTTTCTATGGCAACGGTCCTAATTTACCATCACCCTGAAACTCATGGGTACCAGTCTTTCCTGTTGAACTCAGCCACATAACAAAAATACAGTATAATATGCGAAATGTTTTGTAAAATGACCCAAATACAGAATATATTTGGGTGAGGTTTGAACTGACTACACTCTGGTTGGCAAGCAAACGCTCAAATCCACTGCACCATTGAGTTTATATCTCTCCCCTCTTACCTTCTTACTCACTCTTTCTTTCTCTCTCTTTCTCTCTGTTGTGCTCTCTCTCTTAAAGGGACTGTACCCAATTTACTCCCATGTATTTGAGCAAAATTTGTCTTTAAAATTGTTCACGTTTTAAATAAAAATCAGGTACAGTACATCTCTTCTCTCTCTTTGTTTCTCTTTCAACACCTGTCTCTTTCTACTTCTTCCTCTCTTCCTTTCTCTTTCTTTCTATCTATCAGTCTTTTTCAACATAAATCAGCTTCCCTTATTTGGTTTCAACTAAGTCAATTCTTTACGGTCAGATTGTGTTAAAACAAAGGTCAGATTAAAGTCTTAACAGTGCTTCGGACAGGGCAGTGCCTATAGTGAGCTTCACACCTAAAGGTAATACAGATGACAGTTACTTTTACCTTGAGCTGGTTGGCGTAGTGTCCCAGTTTGATTTTGAGCAGGAATCCGTCCTCTCCGACCTGGTGCTCGGCTTTGTTCTGGAGCTCCTGGATCAGACCGTCCAAAAGCCTCTTGGCCTTAAACTCGTCCTGGGGGTTCTCCAGATCCACCGCATCCCTAGAAAAACATCATATTTAAATATTTAACCAAAACAATATGACCACAGAGAGAATAGACTTCACATTTTGTTCACAAAGATGGATTTAAATCAGTAAAATGCAATCGACCAAAACAAATATGTGACCTTCCAAAATGTGGATAAAAATAAAATGGATTCTAAATGGGTGGCTTTCAGATTCGAGAATGCGGTGAGGTCTTACTATTGGATGGAGGGGAAGGCGATTTTTACTATGATTATATTGTATTTTCATAATAAATATTCAGATCAATATGCAGAAATGAAGTTCATTTTTATTACTGACTAGATCCAAGAACTCACTGTATTATAACAGAATTCTGAATTTTAAGCATATTCATTTTATCATCTGTATTAAAGTTGCACTGTCTAACTTGTCTAGTAGAGAGTTTGTTATCTGTTTGTCTCCATGGAGATGTGCCTAGAATGTTCCACAATATGGCTATAAAGTTATGACTGACACCTGTAGTTAAATGAATACAAGACAGATTAGGTTAATGTATGGAGTAAGAAAGCTTTCTAAAATATTTGTGCACATAGAATAGAAATCCGTGCGTATCAGGGAAATCTGTGGATATTTGGCTCTAGTTGCGCTCTATAGGTGCAATTTCCTGTTCAGAGAAGGTATTTGTACACAGTATTACACAGCAGTGTTTGGTTCCCGAATTGAATGTGGCAAGACAAGACATTTTTACAATACATTTGAATTAACCCACTCATTGGTCACTGTTGTAGCTCCTTGTTCTGCCATTACTCTGTTTTTACCCTCTGTTACAAACTTAAGCATGCGCTGTCTTGATCTTGATCGATGTTTCTTCTGCTCGATGAATAATGTCTGTGAAGTGATGACATATTTTTGACAGTAAAGTCCCATCAGTGAATTCGTATTTGTATTGATGAAAGCGTAATCATAAATTTTCATTTTGTGATTGTAATTCTTGACATCGTAACTTTTCGATTTGTATTCTGATGGATAAAATACACACACTATATTTTATGTACGACTGGACTCATTTGAGAGTTTACAAATATTTATTTTATGCGCAACTACAGCCAAATATACATGGATTTCCCAAATACGCACGGATATCTATTCTATGCGCACAAATATTTCTGAAAGCTTTCTTACTCCATATTAATGCCATACTCTGGACAGTTTAAATGCATTAACATCTCCCCTCCAGAAAAGTTACACAGTGCACCTTTAAAAATCATTATAATGAATGATATGTTATCCGAAACCCAGTATTTAAGTAAACAGCAGAAGGAGCCATTGCACCACAGTTTGAGAAACACTGGCATGAGGCTGGAGCACATATGCAGAGCACTTCATCAACTTTAATGAGATAAATACACAAATCTGACATGTGTTGACTGTCAGTGTTCGGTGTAATCTCCTATTGGACCAGTGTGGTCCATGGTAGTCTCACAATATTTCATAGAAATCAACACATTTCAACCTTTGTTATTTTTTGATTGAAAAATGATTTTTGGATGGAAGTTGAAATGTCTTGATTTGTAAAACATTGTCCAGATGACTTCCTTTCAAAACTAGTCTTTCTTCAATGGTTACTCCCTTCGTGTGTGTGTGTGTGTGTGTGTATATATGTGTGCGTGTGTGTCTGTGTGCGTGTGTGCGCGTGTATGTGTGCATGTGTATGTGTGCACACTGACCATAGCTGTCCCTCGATCCACTGGGACAGGTAGTGGCGCACCTCGATGGGGAAGTGGTGACCGTACAGAGACTGCATCTGGTGCAGAGCGTCGCCCTGCAGCTGCTGGGCCTGGATCCACATGGCCATCTTCTGCTCCCTGTATCACACACAAACACAAACACAAACACAAACACACATAAACACATGTATATACACACTATATATACACACACACAAACACATACACACATAACATAAACTCGAACAAACACAAAGGGAAGGGAACAGGCTCTCGTGTTTTTCTCATGCTAATTTACTCTGTGCACAGCAGAATGCTAGCTAGCCCACTGGGTGTCAGACATACACTGTTCATATAAATGGACATAGCTAACACGCTAGCCGCTGAATTCCAAAGAACAAAATTCGCATGCAGACTCTTCCGGCTCATTCTGACCGTGGATGTACTGAAATAAATGGATAGGGTATTGCTGCTTGTAGCTGTCTCCAGTTGACGTAGTGACACTCACTGGTACTTCAGCGGAAAAAATCCTCTGGGCTGAGACAGGATTTTTCTGATAGAGCGCAATGTAATCACAAACTGACAGGGCACCTACAACTTTCAAAAATATCGGATTTGTTGGCGATTTTTACCTATTTTTAGATCATAAACATTTTCTCGCTCAAAATCCTTCAGTTGTCTTAAAAAAACGCTTTATATTCGTTAGCTCCGGCTTCGCTCTGGTCCGCTCTAGCTCCTCTCGCTCTGATTGGTCAAAGCGATCACGTGATACATGAACCCGCACTCCGTGAGTGTGGTCGCGTGTATTCGCGTGTGCCTGTGGGAGAAAAGAGCACTACGGCGCATGCTCGGTCGACCCACAGCCACCGGAAGTACCTAGCCATGCTACGCTAATCTGGGATCATACGTCATTGAGCTCGACCCATTGATTTGAATGGGCGGCCATTTTGGAACCTGGGGGCTTGGAGAAAAGCCCAGGTACTTCCAAATGGCTCTGGGCTCAGCTTACTGATCTGAATGGGCGGCCATTTTGAAACCCCAGGTCTTGTTTGTGACCCTGGCTTCCATTGACTTACATTTGGTTGTCCCTCCCTATAACTGCTGCTGTGAGCCTCGTCATTTTGGTCTTAAAATGTTAGTATTAATTTGAGCTACATAATCCTGGTATTTTTATTTCACTATTAAGAAAAATAAAACTATTCCTAATATGGAACTTGACTCAAAATTCGCCCCTGTAACCATTAGCATCACAAGCTTTTTTTGACTGGAGCTGGACGCTATGGGTGATGTCCAAGGCCCGGGCTCTAAATGTGGCCGCCGATTCAAGTCAATGGTGCCTGTCTCCAGATTAGACAAGCCCGAAGAGGTACTTTCAGTGGCCCCCTGCCCATTGAACATGTGCAGTAGTGCTCTTTTCTCCCACAGGCGCGTGCATGAGTGCGGACTTGTGTATCACATGACCACTTTGACCAATCAGAGCGAGAGGCTCTAGAGAGGAGCAGAGAGGAGCTAATGATTGATTATAAGGCTGTTTTTAAGACAACTGAAGGATTTTAATTTGAGAAAAAGTTTATGATATAAAAATAGGTAAAAATTGTCACAAAAATCCGACATTTTTGAAAGTTGCAGGTGCCCTGTCAGCCGAACACGAGCAGTATGTGATTACATTGCGCTATATGGGAAAAATGTTTTCTGGGCCAGAGGGACTTTTTCGCTGCTGTACCAGTGAGTGGCCACTAAGCCAACTCAAGACAGCTACAAGCGGACAATATCCTATCCAGTTATTTTAATAGATCCAGGTGACGTCACACTCGCTTCATCCACTTCTTTATACAGTCTATGTTCTCAAAGCTAACAGTCATTTTGATTAAAATCTCAAAATATAAATAAACCATCCATTAAAATTCTAAAAAATAAAGCAAAGTATTTTTAAAGTATTTTTTATGGACAGAATACTTGATTTTGTGGTGCTGTTTTAAAATCTATTATGCCTCAAAATTAGCATTAGCCGCGTTAGCATTGAGACACAAACCTCTCCTTTTTACAAGCCTCAGTTTCCTCGGGTGAAGCAGCCAATTTATTTTATAGGTGTACTTTTTAACATGTGGTCAGTCACATCCACCGGCAGCTGCCCGTCCTCTGTCTGATCTTTAAATATTTATTCATTTTGGCACAACTCATAACAGATATAGATATACAGTTGGACAGGAAGTAGTGACGCTAACAGTGTGGTTGCTAGGCACTGATGTGCGCACAGCCTATTGGTTTAGTGGGAATATCTATCATAGTTTTATATTTAGTCCGTTTAGTGGCAGTTCATGGAAAAAAGGTTGAGAAGAAAAGTATAAAAATACAGATGTAAACACAAAAAATCCAAAGAGCAATATCCTGAATTTTATAGGCTAAAGTCATGTATGTAATGTTTAGACCTTTACAAAAATGTTCAGAAATAGATGGGATTCTTGGAATAGTTTATCAGTTCAAACTTGTTTTTCTCTCAAATGTCCTTGCTCTGGGGGTTGTTTACAATATGCACTAAACATAATTCTAATTTGCATTTTTATATTACACAAAATTGACTCTTGAGAGCTTTATGCCATGTTATAATGTTTCTACCTCATTCAAAACATACCCAGAATTGTGTTTTGTTTCATTTACATATGCTTCAATAATCCTGCATTAGCTCAAAATGCTCTGTTCCACCTTGTGATGTCATGTAGTGGTAGTTTTCAAGTTTACAGTTACCTTTGATCTTTCAAAGTATCCATATGAGGAAATAGTGAGTGTGTACCACGTTTAAAAACCACAGGAGCACTTCCTGTATTACACCATGACATCACAAAATGTAACAGAGCATTTTCTGTTTGAGAGAAGAACTCTAAACATGCAGGATTTGTGTGTTAAACACATGTGAAAAAAACAAAACACGACTCCAGGCATGCTGGTGACGAGGAAACAACAGAAAACAGCATAATATTAGCCCTTTAAACATATATTCAGGTTAAAATTGCCAGAAAAAAAAATCCCAAATCATGCAGCCCCGTGCTAAATCTACTTTATATGGTAACATTTTTTAGAACAATAGTGTTGCCAGTAGAAACAAAATCAAAACCACAATTTAAAAAAAAGAAGAAAAAAAGATTAATTTAAGGCAAAACCATTTTTTTGTTTTGTTCTGTTTTTTTTAATAGTCACTTTGGCCTCTTAACATACAAGCTTTCATGAGGAAACAACAAAATTGTCCACTCTGCAGTGAAAGATTTTCATATTTTCTTGCAATGTTGCATGGGCGAAATTTGAATGTTTCAGTACATTTTCAGTACTTCTAGTTTACTCAAATACTAAATAAGAAAAAAAAAAACCCTCTCTATATATTTTCTATCTACCGTATTTTTCGGACCATAAATCACACTTTTTTTCATGGTGGTCCTGCAACTTATATATTAAAATGTTCATGCTCACAGTCTCGAGAGGGCGTTCTAGGCTTGTGTGTCAGTATCTGCTACTTCTATTCCTCCTGTACCACTGTCACTTCACTCTACTGCTCATGTCTCCTGCAGAAAGAGTCGCTGTCCTGTCTACGGTCGCCATACGCTCCTCACTTTCACCAGCACTACCTTGTCTAACGAATATTCTGCGGGAAACACTGATATGATTTTTCTTCTTCATTACACATTTTTTGGCTGGTGCGATTTATACACCGGAGCGACTTATAATCAAAAAATACAGTAATATGTCAACAAAAAATTTAACCTAACTCTTTTCATGTTTCTGTTTTGAATGTCACAAAAATAGTTCATTTTGGCCGTTTTTACACATTAAATGTCTTATTTTTAATATGAAAACATTACATTACAAAATTTGCATAAACTTGTAATAATACATTTATTTTTGCATTTATGTGAGTAAACGACAGGAGACATTTTAAATTGATACTTCTAAATTTGAGCTTTCTCCTGTTCACCTGCAGAGTCTCGCCTTATTAACCTCACTAATAAAACGAGTAAAAGCAACTTCAGAGATGATCGATGAAATCTGTCAATACGGCCATCTTATGTGAAAGAGGAGAAAATGAGCGATAACAAGACAGGCAGACGGAAAGAGAGGGAGCGGGAGAGAGATTGACAACAAAGACAGAGTTGAAAGAAAGAGAGAGCGAAAGAGAGAGAGACCGAGAAAAGAAAATCTATAGTTTCATTTCGCCAACAGACCGAATCATGTTACGAGAATTTCGAAGAGAAACTCTAACGTCACAATTCGTACTTTCACTTTCATTTGAACCCCTTTCTATCTCTCTTTCTCACTTACTTTCTCTCCGTCTGTCTCTCGCTCTCTTGCTCTCTCTCTACCCTGAGTCTTGCTATACTGTCAGACTCTCTCGCTTCTTGTTCTCCCCCTCTCTTTCTGTCCTCTATCTCACTTCCTTTCTCGGTCTCTCTCTCTCCCTCTATCTCTCCATCTCTTTCCTCCCCCTCTCGTTCTGTCTATCTCATTGTCCCGTTTTAGTGCTCGCTCTTCTTTCTCTCTCCCCCTTGTTCTTTCTCCCTCGCTCTTCCCTTTCTCACTTCCTCTCTAATCCTCCCTCCCCATTTCCTCTGCATCTCTTTCTCCGCCTCCCTCGTTTCCTCTCTCCCTCTTTCCACCTTTCACTTCAGCTTCTTTCGATTCCTCTCTCTCTCACTTTGTTTCTTCCTTCCTTTCACTGTCTTACCCCGTCTCTCAACCTTTCTTTCGCTGTATCTCAACCTCTCTCCCTCTCTCTCTCTCCCTGTCTACCCCCCTCCCCCTTTCCTCTCCTGTCTGCTCTCACATGGCAGTTGATTGTGTGTTGTGGTTTTTATTTGGTATCTCGGGGCCACCGTAGTTTGGTTGTTGTTCCAGTCATCTTGCCCGCAGACTCCTCTTCAGAAAAATGGTGCCGCTTCTGTCCGTAAAGCGACACACATCAGAGTTTGAGGGAAGTGTGCGGCCAGATCAGCCTGTTCAGCAACCGCAAGCGAAAAGCGACGAAACTCATGATGACAGCTTTTACAAATAGACTGAAAATACAGCAAAGGGGGTTTCAAAATATCGAAAATCTGATATTAATCGATACTGGTCCCTGATCATATTTACAATTAGATTGAAGATACAGTAAA